CGCATATATTTTATATTTCATATTTCTGTGGCAATTGTCGTGGCGCTGGGTTTTTGTTTCCGCCCATAACCGGCCAAATACAAATGGCCAAGTTTATGGCTCGACCATTTCAATTTCATGCAGCTTGACCGGCACATTTACAAAGTGCTCCCACTCGCCGCTCAGACACTTGAGCTGCAACTTTTTGCTCCTTGCTTTCTCGATTTCCACAAGCCACTCGAACACTTCGGGCACTTTTTCGTCGACTTCTACGCCTGCGTCTTCTCACAGTGTAGCCAGCCGTGCCACATAGTTGTTCAAACTTGAAGTATCATTGACCTTTGCCGGAAAGGGCGGCCAGCGGGAGGGGGCTATGTGTGGCCACATAGGCGCAACAGTTGCCGCATTGAGTTAAGCGTCGGCGGCCCAGAAAATTACCTTAAAATATAAACAAGCGCTGGCCAGGTGGAATGGGCTGAGCCTGCCTGGCCAAGCAACGTGTGAAAATAATGAGCAGGCATGCTTAGCACAATGCCAATGCTCCAAAAAAAAAAAAAAAAGGGGTTCAATGCGGCCAGGGCAGGGCTAGGGGCTGGGGCACTAAAATACAAACAACACAATTTTGAGTGCGCGCGTGTGTGTGTGTGTGTGTGTGTGTGTGTGTGAAAAACGCAATTGAAATCCCTGGAAAGTCATTTTCAAAACTCAAAAACTCACTCAGTGTGTGTGTGTGTGTGTGCGTGTGTGTGATCCATCATTCAGTTGCTAAACAAACAACAGCAGCAACATGTGCTGCAGCAGCAGCAGCTTCGGCGTTAATTTGCTGCCTTCGCGTAGAAAATAAAAATTAATATATGCCGCAACACGTTTCAACAAAAGCGAGTGAGACTGAGAGAGAGAGAGGGAGAGGGGGAGCGAGGGGGGGAGAGGGAGAGCGCGAGTGTTTGTTGATTTTAAGCGGGCAAGAGTTACGCTTCAGTTGGAAATAGTTTCCGCTGAACAAGAAGAAGAACTTGCCACGCATTCAAGACAACAAACAATGGCCAACGCCCGCCATTTCAGTGCGTTTCTTTCCTTTCAGGTGTTGCCCCAGCTGGTCAATTGCCACGCCCACTAATTACGTGCTGCGCACACAGCACAGTAGTTGCAACAAAGAAGTTAATTTGATTTGTATTCCTGCCACTTGTCTGCCAACGGCAACTGCATTAAGCTGCAGCTGCCCCGATCCCGCTGTCTGCCACAAAAAGTAGCAAAAATAACGGAAAATTCAAGACGAAATAAATATACAAAAAATCGAAATCAAAATCTTAATCTTAATGTTAGAATTGCGCGATATATAACGACTCACCAGAGTTAAGTTAAGCTAGGCATCGAAACAGTTTTTTTTTTTTTTAATTTTCAAATATTCGCACTGACTGGGAGTATCTGACTAGTAGATACCCGGAGCACAGCAGTTGCTTTACTATTGCCTTCTTGTTGATTCAATTTGTCTGAGCACAATTCTATCCCATAGAAGAAGCTAACCACAGTCTAAAATATTGAGGAACCCAACTTTTGAACTGAACTCTCGGCATTCTATATGCAATCAGATAAAGTATTTCGAAGTAAACTTAGAGCAGAGCAGACTTTATGAGCAGTTAGTGAAAGCTGTCCTTGACTGTTTCACATCCATCAAGTCTAGCAATTGTCAAGTCACTTAAGCTCTAGAGTAGCAGCAGTAGTTGGACTTCAAGTTGTGTGTCTAAAACTTGTTTCAATTGTTCAAAAGTGTGGCCTATGCTGATCTATATATATATTACAATATACAGATAACTTCTGACTTGTTAGCTGTATCGACTCTCTGCAATGAGCACTTGCTGCTTGCTGTTGAAGCTGACATAACATGAACTCTGACTCTCTTTTCGATTGCCCACTGACATCTATTTCTATTTTTTTTTATTTTTTTCTGTGTCAAGAAGTTCACTTTTCACATGCAAAATTGAAGGCAAGCCACATTGATTGGAGCTTATCTGCTTTGGACTTAAGTTGGCTGAGCAAACGCAAACAAGGTAACAAGATGGCTTAGTTATAGCTGCGTAGTTGGCATACCCAACCGAACTGTAAACAAAGAGCAAAACAACTCGAGAAGTGTCAACCGAAATGAGCTGTCAGAGCAGCAGCTGCTGCTGCAGCTGAGAGTAAAGAATATTTAGACTTGGCTTAGTGAGAGCTTAGTAGCCGAAATAAGACTACAAACAGGATGCGAGACAATGTAACTACAAGCTGTGCACTGTGCACAGTGGGGCAAAGTCGCTGGCAAAAGGGCAGAATCTATGCATAAATCACGAATATTATCTGTAAAATCTTTGATTTTCGTTCCTTTTCGACTGAGGCGAACTCTCGCCAATTGCATGGATAGCAAAACGTGAACAGAAACTGGCCAAATAATACAAATATTTTGGCAATTTTATGCGGTGGGTGTTCGGCATGTGTGAAGCTAGTTGCGAGTCTGGGGATTTTGGGCGAGTTGTGTGCAATGAATTGCATTTCCTTTTGTTGCCGGCTTCATAATGAAGACAGCTACCAAAAAATATAAAAAAAGAAAAACAGAAATAAAAAATATCATGGAAGGAAAACCCAAGTCGCTGCGGCAAGGACACGGCCTAGACAGTGTCAGAGCGAGTCTGCAGATGTTTACGAGTCCGGGTTTAGGTGTCTGGGCTCTGGGCTCTGGGCTCTGGGATCCGCGTCCATGTTTGTTTGTTTGTTTGCCAACTGTCTGGGCCAGCAAACAGGCCAAGGCAATAAAATAAGCAACAAAATGAAATGGCTGCAGACATTGGCAGCCGTTGGCGACGTCATCTTGGAGACGCTTTTTCCCACAGCCGCGCTGCACCTGCGAGCGAAGATATATTGAGCTAGTTGTTCAGAGAATGCCAGAGAATAGCTGTAGGATGGATGCTTTTAAGCGTGGGCGCATTCAGCATCGTTTTTCTTTTCCTTTGCCTTTCTTCTTTTCGCCTGTCGCAAATGGTAAAAATATTTACCAATAGACGAAGGCGTTACTGGAGATGCTGCTGACTCAACTATCCCACTCAATCTATATCTATTTTGCTATCTCAGTTGCTCTCTCTCCTCTCTCTCACGCTTGCTGCGGAGGGTCTGGGCAGCAGCAGCAGCTAACGAGTGGCCTTTGAGCAGCACGTTCGTGTTTAGACTCTTAACACATTTTTCGATTCGCTTTCGTTTCGACTCAAGTGCAATCAGCAGAAGGAGGCGAACTAAGGACAAAGGACGTTTTGGACCACGGACGCTGCTTGGCCAAGACAGCGGCACGTACCACGCTGTCTCGCCCAGACAGTTTGCAAACAGAAAGCCAAAACTACCAGCCCAGCCCAAGCCAAATCGAAACCAAAACCCAACCCAGCCCAACCCAGTTCAGCATCCATTTTGGCCAAAAAGCTATCACTGCTCGTTCCGCCTGCCTGCCTCCCTGCCTGTCCTTCCGCTGGCTCTTCAAGATAAAAACTAGTGGATCAGCAGCACTTAATTACATGAAACGAAAACTGTTAACATTTCGGTTCGGCTGGCTGGGGGCTAGTGTGTATGGCTCTAAGTGGCCGAGCCATTGTTATGGCCTAGGCTCATAAAAGCATTGAGTGATGGCATGTGACATGATAATCATCGTCAACGCCAGCACAACTTTGCCATGAAGCCAGGGCTATTCAAGGCGCTGCACTTCAGCCGAACCAGAGAGTTAAACGTTGGCGCGTGCAGTCATAAAACGTGAACGCTTCCGGTTGGGGGTCTCTGTCCCTGCTGTGTTGGATGGTGTTGAGTGTTAATTGACCTAATTGCTGCCCGCCTGCCTGGGCAATTGAAAAGCGAGGCTAAAACCAAAGCTGGCCTTAATATTGCCAATATTTTATGCGCTGCCCAAGGCCCAAAGCCCAAAGCCCAAAAATGGGTGGTCGCTGCGCTAGCTGTATAATCTGATGCGATTTTGCGATTTGCTGCCGAGAGAAGCTGCTTTTAAAAACGCAACAACAACAGCAACATTAACAACAACCACAGCGCCGACGACGGCAACAAACAGGATGGGTCGAGCTGCCATAAAAGGAGCTAAAGTACAAATCGTTGTCACATGTGAGCCGCATTTTTATGGCCAACGGCTTGGGAATTTCTGTTGCTGCCGCATTGACCAAAAGCCTGCGGCATAAGGAATTTATTGTGCGCGCTGTAAATGGAGTGGAGCAGGCCAGCGTTTGGGCATCAGCCGGTGGCTACTTTAGCAGCATCAGCAACAGCCACGGCGGGAGCCGTTGCATCTCCTCCAACTCCTGCTGCTCCCATTCAAATGTGCAACAGGTCAGCTTGCAACAGCTCTCAACAGCGTACACCAGGCGCTGCAATTTTTATTACTTTCACGAGAATTGAGCTTGAGGCGAAACCCTTAAAAGGCCTGCACTGGCTCTGGCTCTGGCTCTGGCAGCCTCCGCTCCGCGCTGGCTCACTGGAATGCAATTGGGAATCGAGCAGGCAGCAGAGACAAAGATGATTCAATTGATTGATTGATTGATTGATCGCTGCCCGCTGCTTACATCTGAAAGCCAACAGCAACGGAGATCAGCAACGACAAACACACTCTGCTCAGATAAGCCAACCAAATGCTTCGACGCGTCGGCCCACAAGCTGCGCCTTATCAGTTCCGTCACTCGTAAGTAAACAGAATAATATCTCTTTGTACAGAGCTGATGACGTATTATGTTTAAATTGCTTACAAATACTATTAACTGATTGAGCAGAACTTGTTCCGTTAAACAGTTTCAGTTCCATCTGCTGACTGGAATGACTGCGGCTCACGTTGTGCGAGCTTCGATGAACTGATTCATATTGAATGTGATGAATAAACTAGTTCAGGGGAACGATATTAGTTCCGATGCATACCAAAAACGAGTTCACAATAATGAACTAGTTCATATGCAAAAGAACTAGTTCACATACGTTATTTCCGGCTTAAATTCAAACATTCAAAAGAACATTTCGAAGCGCAATTGAACTAGTTCACACTCATAAGCACGAGCAGATGTCGTCAATTCAGAACATCTGACCATTGCTTACGATGAGCTGGCAGACAAAGTCCACTGCTTAGCGCATAGATAAGCCGGATAGGCCGCGTTTTTCAATTTCACTTTCGAGTTGTGATCGCATCATTCGTCAGATACATTTGGACGCTCGATCGAATCGCATTAGCTTCGAGTTTGTTGGGCTTTAGGTGGAATGTTGTCACAGGGATTAAGACGCGCCGTATCGCTGCTGACCTCACGGACACTTGTCCGTCGCCAGCTGAGCGCACGCATCGTGGATGCGACCTATGTCGAGCTGCAGCCGGATAAGGCGGGCGCCACAACGCTGACCTTTCCGGGCGTGTGGCTGCGCGACAATTGCCGCTGCCCGACCTGCTTCCACAGCAGCTCGCAGTCGCGCCAGTTGGACTGGAATCAGTTCGATGCTAGCGTGCGCCCGCTGGCGCTGCACATGGACGCCGCGCAGCAGCAGCTGCACGTGCGCTGGAGCGATGAGCACGAGAGCAGCTACACGCTGGACTGGCTGAGGCAACGCAGCTTCGATGCGAGCAGCCAGCGCAGCTACCTCGACGACTTCTATAGGCCGCGCACGAGGCACTGGGCGGGCGCTGAGTTTGAGCAGATCGCACAGCGCTTCAACTACGACCAGGTGATGTCCGAGGATGAGCCACTGCAGCACTGGCTGCAGGCGCTCGCCGTTTACGGCGTCGCACTGCTCAACGGCGCACCGCTGGACGAGGGCGTGGTGCGCCGGCTAGCCGAACGCGTCGGCTTCATACGTCGCACCACCTACGGCGAGGAGTTCATTGTGCAGGCCAAGCCTGGCGCCAAGAACTATGCGTACCTCTCGCTGCCGCTGCCCCTGCACACGGATCTGCCCTACTACGAGTACAAGCCCAGCGTCAACATACTCCACTGCATGGTGCAGACCAAGTCGCGCGGCGGCAGCAACCTGCTCGTGGATGCCTATCACATAGCGGATCGCCTGCGCGAGGAGCATCCGCAAGACTTTGAGCGGCTCAGCCGCACGCTCGTCGACTGGAACGACATTGGCAGCGAGGATGGTCGCGAGTTTCACAACATTTGGCGTGCGCCCGTCATCTGGTAAGGCAGCTGGCAATGCCATCAGCTTGCTCAGTCCTAACTATCTTCTCCCATTCTCCGGCAGCCTGGATGCGGCGGGCGGCTACACGCGCATCAACCACAGCGTGCCGCAGCGGGACAGCCACTTCAATGTGCCGCTGGATCAGGTGCTGCCCTGGTACGAGTCGTACGCTCGCTTCGTGCAGCTGGCGCGCGCCGATGCCTACTCCTTCAAGACGCAGCCCGGCGATGTGCTCACCTTCAACAACATCCGCCTGCTGCACGGCCGCACCGGCTACGATGACACCGAGCAGAACTCGCGTTATATTGTGGGCGCCTATCTAGATTGGGATATCATATATTCGCGGCTGCGCGTGCTTAAAAAGCGTTCAGCCAGCTCCAGCTCCAGCTCCAGCTCCGGCTCCAGCTCCAGCTCCGGCCCCACTGCCTCCGCTAGCTAAATGCGCCAATAAAAGTCAGCGACATATTTTCCAAGCCATTTGCGTTGAGCTCATTTGAATAGTTGCGCGGCCAGCACATATGCCTGCCACGCCCATGTTGCATGTTGTTCTTATGCCACAAACCAAAGGAAGGAGCAAAACTGGCAGAGGCAAAAAATAAATCCAACGGCAGTTAAAGCAGCTCAAGCGCGAAAATGAAAAGTTGTAAAAAATCATGATGATCCGGGGCGCGTTGTTGCGGATTATTAGCATCAGGATGCTGACAAATCGCTTGTGCAGATGATTGACAGTCGCAGGATGTCAAATGCGTCGGCAGGGGACGGCGACAGGGGCGAGGCTGTTGCTTGTAGGCGCAATGTCGTCGAAAAATTGGCCGCACTGGCAGCCACATCCGCGTTCAGTAAATATGTAAATTGCGCTCGGCTTCTAAAGTGTCAAATGTTGTCAAGTTTAGACGGCACTCAAGGATGTGCCTACCTGGCCCCACCTGCCCGCACTTACCTGTGGCTCGTGCCGTCTTCGCATTGTAGACGCGACTCAAGTTTGGAGTGCATTAACCTTTAGCAGGCGCTCAATGAAAATGCCGTTAATCGCTTAACACTCGGCATTGCGAGGCACGCCCCAGCAAGCCCTTCAGGCCTCATACATGAATGTCAGCGGGGAGCTCTGGCTGCCTCGCCCACACGCCCCCACACTACCCACTCGCTCTCTCACTCTCGCCTTCTTTGTAAAAGTTTCTATGCCAATTTCTTTTGAATATTTTATAGAGCTCCATTATGCCTACTTATGTCTTGTTATAGTAATAAAATAAAATTTTTTAAAAAACCGTAGCTGGGGGCCGTCCTCGAAATCGTTAAGCAAAATACGAGTAGGAAACATCTACTGTAACTGTTCTAGGAGCAGCACCATCAACAACTCTGAAGGTTTGAAAACATTTTTTTGAACAACATGGCAGCAACAATAACAGCAACAGCAACAGCAACAGCAAAGCCAACACAACGACTGAGAGCAGAATGGAAGCACCGCAGCAGCGGCCCAAGGGAATGGGCTTCGCTTCCAGGCTGCGGTTGAGCAGGCCACGTCGACTATTCAGCACGCTGCAATGCTGACGGTGACTCAAGATTGTTTTATGTGTTAAGATACATTTGTATCTTACGTTTCGTTGCACAGATACATGCGTATCGTATGACACTCAAATAATCACGTCTCAGGTGTACTTAAATATGATGTTATGATCACAGATACTTTTGCATGCAGATATTTACATTTCAGATATATTTGTAGCTCATGGAAACAAAATATTCTCATCACAGATACATTTGTATCCGAAAACATTCACTAAAGATACATTTGAATCTCATGATCTTTGAATATTCACAGCTCAGATATATTTCTATCTCATGTATTTCAAGCATGTGCGTTACAGATACATTTGTATCTCATAAGTCTTAAATATGGGCAATTGAGATACTTTTGTATCTCAAAAGTTTCGGTTGTTCTCATCTCAGATACATTTGTATCTTAAGAGTCTTTTAGGTTTACATCACAGATACAATTGATCTTCAGATATTGGCATTTGAAATACATTTGTATCTTATGAGGCTCAAATCAATGCTCAGATACATTTGTATCTCAAAAGTTTCAGTTATTCACACCTCAAATAGATTTGTATCTTAAGTGTCTTTTAGCTTTACATCACAGATACAGCTGATCTTCAAATATTCGCATTTGTATCTTATGAGACTCAAATCAATGCTCAGATACATTTGTATCTTATAACTATATATTGTATCTGTTTCGCTTCTGTCTATGGCCTTACAGTTCCAAGTGATCTTGATCATATCTGAGCATGATGTAGATACATACGTAAAGCCTAGACTAGCTACGATCATTTGTACTTCATGGATTCAGCTGCATCTTGCCTGGCGAAGAAGCGATTCTCGAAAAGTATGCCACAGAACTTATTCTGGCAATAGACAGTCGCAGCAATAGACAGACAGCAGCGAGCGGCGCGTTGCATACTTTTTGGGGCACAGCAAATGCTCAGCTGCGCGAATCTGTGCGAATGGCATGCTTAGCTAATCGACTTGACTTTGGTGTAGGGCATCGGAACTTTTCCTTTTGGCTTTCATGCGTTGTAAGAAGCACTTCCGCATTGCTTGTGCCGCCGGGGCCAATGGTAGCTGATCCCTTAGCCTGGTCTATCAGAGCATGTGTGCGTGTGCATGAGTATTTGTGTTCGTATTCCCTTAACACGCATCATAACGCCCAGACGAAAAGCTTACACAACTGCTGGCGAAGGCAGGGGGCGCGCGAACGAAGGCCAAATGAAAAGTCTATAAAAAAGTTTACTTTTTTAATACTTTTCCCATTTATATATATATATAATAAAAATCTTGTAAAATGCGCCTTTTTTGCACTCTCTCTGTGTGTGTGTGTGTGTGTGTGTGTGTGTGTGTGTGTTGCACACTCCCCCGTTTAGGGTTCAGTGCAAAATTCTGTTATACTCGACTGCCGCAGGCAGCAACTATGACTCGAGCCTTGGACTTGGGTCTGGGTGCGCTGCTTCTAGCATTCATATTGTAGCAGTTGCTGCAACAAGAACAGCAGCAGCAACGGTAACACCAACGGCAACGTCGACGGCAACTTGCGGCACTTGAAATCCAAACGGCGTAATTGCCGCACTGTAACAGACGTTGGCTACGACGATACGAGATGATGATGACGAGGATGCTTCTTTGCTAGGGCTAAGCATCTCCTGGGGGCACAGAAACGCAGCAATGCCAAGTGAAAAAAAAGAAAAACGAAAAAAGAAGAAGAAACAAGAAGCTGAAGCAGAAGCAGGCGAAATATCCTTTGAGCAGAGCAGGAGGCCGCGCAGGATGGGTCTGGCAAGTGGTTTGGACAGGCGGCTGCGGTCGCCATCTAAGCATAACAAAAACAACATTAGTGAAGCAAAAAGGTTTTAATGCGGCCTAAGCTGCTATGGCAACGGATACGCCAATCCGTCCGGAAATATTTCCATTGGCATTTCTAGCCATGGCAACCCAAACGGCAATTGGAGTGTGAGCTGAGTCGACCAAAGCTGGATTTTCATGTGTGCCGCAAATCCAGGCCGCATGGTCGGCGCCTGATTGGCCAGCTAATCCTCGTGCCGTGTGCCGTGTGCCGTATGCCGTATGCCGTGCTGCGCCACTCGGACTTGCCCCATTTGGTGGCGCATGGCGTATCTAAATTCGCTACTCTTTGACGCAGCATTTAATACAGCTAAGAGCTTAGTGGGTGGGCGTGGCGGCAAAGGAGTGAGCTTGCAGCTTACGTTTTTTCCATTTTGCCATTTTTCAATTTTTCACTTTAATCAAATTAAAATTCATTCGTCGCGCTTATGAAGCGTGCAAATGGAGCTGCCAGCAGCAACATAGCTTTGTCCTTGTTTATGCAGCATTGCCCCGGCAACGCGAAGGCAGCCAGCCAGCCAGCCAGCCAGGCAGTCCGCGGAGCCAGCCTATTGAGCAGGCAACCACCCAAGCCAAGTGGTTGCCGCTTTTTGTTAAGTTTAGCTGAGGGCCAAAACTTTGCATTGCGGTCTGGCGGCTGCGTCTGCGTCTGCTGGAACTTTACAGGCGCTGCAAGGCATTTTGGGCAACTACAATGAATCCACATTTGGGCGCGTGTCAGCGAGCGGGGGTGGCCAATGTTGCGAGTGCAGCAGCAGCAGCAGCAACCCTTGAGGCGCTGAAATTTGATAAATATGCGTATTAGTTTCACTTGCCGGCAATGGCACAGAACCTTTTGGCCAGAACGAAAGCCAGCGGCAATATCAAACACTAAGCGACCCGGTGGCTGGGGCACGGCTTGGGCATGTTGCTTAAATTGCGCTCTAAATTAATTTCATCCTATTTGCCGTGCCCGAACGCTGCTCGAAAGTATGCAACATTTTTTTCCATAGCTCAAAGCTGGCAAATTGCTAAAAGTGAATCAGAACTCAAGGGGCTGAGCACAACTTAGGAAACCATATGCTCAATAGAATTTAGTTATTGTGCTTCCCTTTGGCTGTCTTTTCAGTTTTTGCAGCAAATTCGCTCAAAGCGAACAAATTTGAGCAGCAGACAAAGAAATTCTAGCTCCATTTTGCAGTGACACCTTTGGCATTACGTATGAAATATCAAATTATGCAAAGGACTTTATTCAATATATGAAATCTCACCGTTGTTAAAGAGTTTCGTATGTTGTCTCCACTGCTGCTTAGTAGAATTGCAGCAATTCATACCAATCTCCAGCTGGATGTTGGCTGGGGATCCAGAGGAATCTGCTCAAACTCAAACTTCTGAGCTGCGCGCTGAACTGGCTAAGCAGTGATGCTACATTTAGCAGGTGAAAATTATTTAGATAAAAATGGCAAATCATGTACTATATTTCAAGTGCTAAATGTTATCGATCACTTAAACACTTGCTGAATTATATTAATCGAAATATGCATCACTCTTGCGTGGTCGCCTCTCAGTTGCGTTCATTAAAATAGTAGTGCTGCACTATAGGAAACTTAAATCAAATTTAAATATACTTTTTCCATTTTCATTGAAAATATATATCGATAAATTAATTTTCCTAGACAGAAAGCGAGTAAAAAGAATATACATAAAAAGAATCTTTTAAGAGCTTGACTTAAATCGAAACAAAATCTAATGAATTTTGTATAATATCTTTATATATAGAGCTATATATATATATATATATATATATATATATATATATATATATATATCACGCAGTTAGTAGCGTCTTCATTGCTCTGAGCAATATACTCGCTTATAAATGCCGTCTCTATATCTTGTTCTTCTGCCAGACTCACAGCAGAGGCACTTTCTTTGCTCTCTATTAGATCTTTTCCCGAGTTGAATGAATTCATTAGCTCACACTTATCGATTTAACGAATCATCATCGATAACTTGCCAATAATCGATCTGTCCAAATCATGGCAGCCATGATAAATTGCAGCCTACGCATACTTTACCTGCTGGCACCTGGAAATCTGCAAAGAGAAACGGCAAAAAGGAACCCGAAATAAAAATCACATTTCTCACCCATTGAATTTCGTAATATATATTAGCAATTTGTCCACTTAAATCGATTAAATTTTTGTGTCTTGGTTTTCTTTGCTTTTTGCATTTATTTATGTTGCTTGCTTGATTTTCTTTATATATATATATATATATATATATATATATATATATATTGAAATATATTATATATATATTGAAATCTTTTGAAAGTACACACATAAATGATGTTGAATCATACAGCTGCACACACACACACACATACATTTGTGTGTGTCTGTGTGTCCATATGCGTTTGGCTTGCCTTTGATCAACTATTTTTTTGCTTTTCTGTTTACTTAGCTTTTGCTGCGTGTGTGTGTACGTGTGTGTGGCTTAGGTAAATACCAACTACAATACTTTAATATCAGACAATGTCTATTTGTTGTTGTTGCCAGTTTGATTATCTTTCAATCATATTCCATTTATTTTTATATATTTTATTTTTATTTCTGTTTTTTTTGTATTTTTTTTTATCATATGTATTTCATTACAACATAATAATTTGGCAATAAATATTGTTGATTACGGTTCGCTGTTTATTTTATGGGCTTTTGCTTTTTGTTTTTTTTTTTTTTTTTGAGTATTTACAAAGATCTAAGAAAAAAAAATTGTCGCTGTGTTTCTTCTTCTGCTTTTATATAGTCTATATAGAGTATATATAGCATATATATATATATATATATGTATATATATATATATATATATATATATATTGTGAACTCGTATATATGCATTTAGATAGTGTTTATTATTATTATATATAAAATTGTGTTTTTTCTATTATTAAATATTTTTCTCATTAACTTGCGACACACACAAAGATAATTTATATTTTTTTTTATTTAGTGATAAAATGTTTGCTTAAAAAAAATTTATAAAAAAAAAAATATGTATTTTTATGTATGTATATATATATTAATTCTATTTAACGTGACAATGCTGTATGTATGTGTGTGTGTGTAGGATATGTAAATTTAGTATTGTTTCTGTTGTTGTTGCATTCAACCTACAAAAAAAAGCATGCCACAAACATCGTCTTCATTATCTTCTTCTTCTTCTTTTTGCTCTGCAATTTATTTATGCTCAATATACACCAAATACATCAAGCTTTTATATATATATATGTATATATGTATGTGTGTATATGTATGTGTTTGTATAAGTACTTTTCTTTTATTCATTTATGTTTTTTATATATATATATATATGTGTGTGTATATATATATAATAATAATAATAATATTTCGAAATACAGTGAAACGCCAACAAAATTTAGTTTTCGCTTGGCTTTTTTTTGTTTAATTTATAATTTAAGTTTACGTTAAGTTAAAAAAAAAAGTTTATATATATATATATATATATATATATATTTGTGTGTATATATATTTGTTAAGGAAATAAATAAACGGCTCGACGTATCAACTAATGACTAATTTGGTTATGTTTTGTGTCTCAGTTTTTTAAGTACTTTTTTAAAAGAGTTTTTTTTTTGTTTTTTTTTTTTTTTGTTTTCTTTACTTTTCTTTTCGTTTTTTTTTTCTTGTTTAGCTCTTTTGTGTGCTTTTGTTGTTGATTTTTAAACGCGGAAACGGAAGTCAATTTGTCAGCTTTTAGGGCACAGAAATCTTAGATATGTGTGAGTGTGTGTGTGTGTGTGTGTGTGTGTTTGCCAAATGCTTGCTATATGCGTGAGTGTGTGTGTGTGTGTGTGTTTGCCAAATGCTTGCTATATGCGTGAGTGTGTGTGTGCGTGTGTGTGAATGGGCCTGGCGCACATCAATTTATATGCTAATGGCGCCAGGCAAGTTATTTAAAATACATATGCCACGCCCCCGCTACGCCCCAGCCAGCAGGCTGTTAAATGAAGTAAAATAAAAGCAAAAAAAAAATAATCGCGCAGAAAAATCCAATTTATTTAAATATATATAAATGCGCGCACATACACACAGACATACGTGCTTTGTGTTGTGTGTGTGTGTGTGTGCATACATACATATGTATATAAATTAATATGGCTTCTCATGACTGCAGCGCACACCCACATTGGCTGGCCACACCTCCTGCCGCCCCACTCCACCCCACTCTACTCCATTCAGCGCACACGTCATGTTGACAAAATTCAGTTAACGCAAAAATCTCATTTAAATATGCATGAAGCCCAAGCCGCAGTCGCGTCCAAGCCGCAATTTAATTTCTCTCTCTCTCTCTTTCTCACTCACTCACTCATTTTTTTTAACTTTGTTCGTTGTTGTTTTGTATTTAACTTGCAGCAGGACACTTCATATCGTCTATGTGTGTGTGTGAGAGAGAGAGAGCGCGCGAGACCATGTGTGTGTGTGCATTGTTTTCGGAGCCATGTCGTTGGCTAATTATGCGGCCCGGGCGGCACACACAAATCTCAGCTTAAGAGCCACGCCATGTTAACTATACAGCTGCTGTCCAACTCAGTTGGGCCGTCCGTCTGTCTGCCTGTCCACTTGTACAGCTGATCAGCATGTCCGGTTGGTCGCTTGCTCCATTTGGATTTATAATATATCATGGTCACGGTCGCCGACTGTGGCAATGGGCCAATGACAAAAGCCCACAGCGAAACACGCAGGCAGAACAGAGTAAAGCGAATGGGTGACAGCGGGAGAGCAAGGGGAGCGAGGAAGAAACACAAGTCTCTTGTGCAGAACACGAAAAAAAATTCATTAAAGCATTTATCAAGTTCGACACTTGCTGTCATATATCATGTTACATTTTGAGCTGTAACATGTTTAATCCGCGGCCCCACTCAAATGAAAGAGAATACCAAAAAGAGCTAAAAAAATAACAACAATAACACAATAAATGTAACTGTGTAAATGCATGCAAGGGGCAGAGGGCGAGCGATAAGGAGAGGGAGAGCAGCAATACCGGAGACAAAGCCTGTTAGAGGGACAGGGACAGAGGCTGCGACAGGGCCAGGGACATGAAGAGCGAGAGTGATAGATACAGGGGCAACATATCAGTGTTCAGCCTACGAAGTTGCATTCTTTTTTTTTTTTAATTTGTGTAACGTGTTTCGTGATGTTGTTTGTTTGTTTGTCTGTCAAGTTTGTCCAACTGGCTACAGTGAGCACTGTCTGGTGTGCACCACAGTGCATAAGTTTTTACGTGATTGGAGATTGTCTGTTAAAAAAAGACCTTAAAGAAAATGTTAAAGAAAAAAGCCGGTTGCAAGTTGAACTGAACGCCCTTCGCCACACCCCTGCCACCTTTGACAAGCATTCAATGTGGCTGAAACGTTTTTGCTTCTTCTCTTTTATATGAATGCTAACTGATTCACATGCATAATTCAAATTGAAAATTGAATTCAAATAAATGCATTTTAAATTCATTTTAGTGCTGCTGCTGATGTCTGTTTGTTTATTATTATTATTATTATTATTATTATTATTATTGAGTTTTTTTCTTCACTTAAACAAATTGTTATGCAAAAGCGCGTGAAAATCAACTAACAAATGGATACGAATGAATCTGCATAATTAACAGCAAAACTGTTTGCATACATTTTAAAAATACAGATCGAACGGGTTAAAAAAATTCGAAAAATAATAACAATAAAACTGCCGTTAAATGCAAACAGTAAAACTGAAAAACTGTCAGAGATAAAATCTCAAAAAAAAAAAACAAACGGCAAATATATCGAAAATATAAATCGAGGTAAACGAAAAAACTGTGATGAATGCGATATGCAGAGCAGAATCAAAAAAAGAAAAGAAGCCCTGCAGCTGGCACTAGGGATAGTCAGCATATGAGTAAAATAAATAGCAGCAAAAATAACAGGCAGTGAGATACGCGGCAGGAGAGACACAATAATCCGTTTGCGTAATTCTCGTGAATACCCCTAGCATATGCCATTCAATGTGAAAGTCTGTGCCATTCGTAGATTTCAGCTGACTCTGTCTGTTTGCCTACCCCGCCTCCTTGTCCGTTATTTCGTTCTCTCACCATTATTTCTGCGCCTCTTCGCCTGCCCAGCCATTGGTTTGAATGACCCCCCACTCCTTATTCATGACACACAGGCACGCGATATGCTACGCTTTTCGCACTTATTACAAATTTATAACTGTTATTTTATGGCCCTCATAAATGTGCTTGACAGACACACACACTCATACTCACGCACACGCCCTTCAGATTGTAATTAGCATTTGGCTTGTTTGTTGTTTGCTTTTGCCTAGTGTTTTGCAGTGTTCGAGTGCCTGTAGACTAGAATGCCGCTGAGTAGCTTAACTAGAGGATTTCAGATGTTTTTTTTTTGTAGTTTTTTTCCTTTTTTGTTGTTCAGATAGATATATTCAGTATGGGAAGACTCCGCTTTTTGTCTATAATAAGTATTGTGTGGATAGTGTATATTGTGTGGATGTGTGTGGGTGTGCGTATGTGAAGGGTGGGGATTAATTAAAACATGATACCGAAAAAGGTCAGAAACTTGAGTAAACTGTACAATTTATACAAAAACCGATACCTAGCCAAGTGTATGAAATTGAAATCCGCTCTGACATATTCCGTTTCCGGTTCGATTCAACTGCATTTGCGGGCGCGCCGCTGGAAGCGTTTCATGCGCAACGACCACTCGTCCTTCCACTCCAATACCACGGAGCTGGGTCCAATTGCCAGATAGCCCGGCGCTGCCTCCGAGTCGCGTCCAAGTATTAGATACGATCTGCAAATATTTCAATGTGAAAGTCAAATTAATGTCAAGAAATAAGCATTGCACATAAATAATCATTAGTTCCGATTAGAGAGCTACTTACTTGTTCAACTTGATCTTGGGGCACTGACACTCGATACTCTTGCGCGGCACCAGCAGCATCATATTGCCACGTCCCAACAGCGAACTGGTTGTGCCCGACATGGGGTTACGCTTGAAAATCGTCTGGATATTTATCTCGTACTTGTAAATCTCGTTCTGTCGCTCGATTGAGAACTTTTCGGTGCTAATGTCCTGCGAGGCGCGATCATGTCCAATTACCTTGGCCAACAGAGCTGCAATCGAGTCGAGTGTTAGCTAGACTTTGGCATATTGAGAGCACATTACGCATACGTACCATAGTCCTCCATGCAAAACTTGTTCAGATTGAGCTTCTTAGGACTGGCCTTGCACTTGCCGCAATCTGTATGTGTGTGTAGAGAGTTTATTACATAATTATTTATTTATGTATATTGAAGCTTGTTACAATCCCAGCTCTCCATGGTTAATAATAATAATAATAATAATAATAATAAAATAATAATAATAATAATAATAATTGGGCGATTATCTATGTAGTTGACAACTCTACACAACATTTTACTAGCAACTCTCCACGAGTAACTCTTCGACTGTAACTTGCAACTCTCCAATCTACACTAAAAACTCTCCAAGAGTAATGAGTAACACGAGTAACACTTGTGGCGAGTAACCAGTGACTCAGTTTGCCAAAAATTAACTTCGCCAAGAACTCTCCACAACATTTTACTCGTAACTCTCCACGAGTAATTCGACACAAGTCTCCCACAAGTCTCTTGTTACTCATTGCGATTTATTACATGTCTGCCTTTACCCTTTGCTCAAAACTCTACAAGTTGCTCGTCTCTAGTCTCCAGTCGCTATTTACAATTCTCAACTAGTTTTACTTACACTTTTTCATTTCCTCAGCCTGAGAGCCTCCGCCATCTTTGTAGTCGCCTGTTCCAGTGCCGCCGCCAGCGCTTTCCGCTTGAATCATATTCGCATTTGTGGGCACCTCTGCTAAGACAAACACATTAATAGCAAGGAAAGATAAAGAGGATGAGGAAGGGGGAGGCAGGGGGTAGTGAGAGTGAGAACAGGAGACTTACTTATGCAAGGCGCCACATGAGAGCGCGTCTGCTGATAGCCGCGTGCACAGCGATTGCAAGTGAGGCCGGTGACGCCCTCCTTGCAGGGACACTGTCCACTCAGATGATTGCACGTCTTGCCAGTGGAGCCCACGGGATGACAGTCACAGCCTAAGATAGAGAGAGAGAGAAAGTCGCAGTCATCATTAGAGAGACATCTGCCCAGTGCGACAGTTAACTAGGCCGCTGATTGATGGCCAAGCAGCTGCTACTTACGTTTGCACACTTTGCGATGGTTGGGTGGCTTGGTGGCATCCCGATAGTAGCCCTCGCGACAATAGTGGCAATACCTTCCGGTCGTATCATGCTGACAATTATAGCAAACGCCGCCTGACACCCGGCCCGACAGCTTGTACAGCTCCAGATTGAAGCGGCAGCGACGTGCGTGTCCATTGCACTGGCACACTGAAAGCATAAGGAAAGCAGACGTAAAGTTTGAGCAAAGTATAGATAAAAGTATAGCATAATTACGTATTATATTATCATATATCTGAACTAATAAGTAAAAGTTTTCTAGTCGAAAGTGCTCGACTATGAAATACCCTGAACGCCAAGCTTAGCATTGATGTTGCCCAATAATCGACGTTCGATAACAGCTTTAAACGAGTACATGGAGACTCTGTAAGCTAGTGTCAAGTTTCTTGTAACTGCGGACGGATGGACGGACAAACGGACGAACCGACAGAAGAACGGACGCACGGACAAATGGTTGGATGGACGAACGGACGGATGAACACATGGATGGCTGAAGAGAGCAACCAACAGAGGTACTGGCGTAAGGACGAATGGACGGATAGAAGGACGCAAGGACGGACAAACCAGGAGATGAACAGACCAACAAATGTAAGGACATACGGACGGATGGTCGGACAGAAGGTCGGCGCAGGAACGGACAGGCGCATGAACGGAAGTCTAAGTAAGCTATATATACAGCTATAATGTAGGGAGTTAATAGGTTTACTTAAGATATAATAACTGTATATTTAGCATATCTTATGTGCCAAAACATTGTCAAACTCTCAATTTTATTCATTCAACATTCACAACTTAAAGTCTAAAGTTTCTTAGATTTTTTCCATTTAGTTCTGGCCTTATCTTAAAGTTAACTGTTTTTCTATTCGAAACGCTTATGAATGGATATTCATTTATTCATCTGAAAGATTGTATCGTTCGCTTAAGCTCTTTATGTCTGAGTCGCTGCCATCCTCAGTCCCGGCCCGGCCCCAGTCCCAACTCAACTCAAACCTAATCATTTAATGGCAGTCGCTTCTCGCCTCGCACATTTCATAAATAATTAATAATCAAAGATATTTTTTACGTGCTTTACTTATGCCAGGCAGGTTGGGCGCTACTGAGCCAGCCACGCCCCCCTCCCGGCCTGGGTATGATTGATTGTTGGCTGGCTGGCTGAGTGCGGTTGATTGATGAAACTGCAAGCAAACAACAATGCGAAAGGCGGGGGCGGGGGCCACCTGTACCTTGGGCTGCTGCGACTTTTATCGATTTAATGCCCGAGCAACTGACCAAGGTCCAAGCGCGTGTGTGCCCGGGCGGGGCTAAACCTTAAGCGTCAGTCAGCGTAATGCCGGTTTAATTAGTTGGCCAATATCATAAAATAATTTTAGCCAACTAATTGGCAGCACTTGACTGCAATTTATGTGCTCCACAGCGAGCTCCACAGCAAGGCATTAAGCGTGATTTATACCAATCCAACTCATATATAGACAGACGAACAGCGACAGAGCGCGCCAGCGGAGCAGAGGCACACGGACAGAGCTTTATCTATATGGCATGGTTACGTATGAGTCTGTTGCCCACGCAGTTCGACTGCGACTTGCACACGCATGAGCGCCTGCTTTGTGAACCAGCCGAGCAGCAGGCTGGAGGGGGGCAGGGGTGGTGGAGCAGCGGGTCTCTGGCAGCTGGAGAATAACGAAAAATATGTCCCTTGCCTTCGCTCTGGCTCTTATTTCGACTTCGCCTCCAATTCCTACTCCAGCTCCAGCTCCAGCTCCAGCTCCGGCTCTGTCTGCGGCTCTGGGTCTCGGTCTCGACTATTGTGATGGCTGTTGCTTCATATTTTTCATATCTTATGTCTGCATCATCGACGAAGCTGACAACAATGGAGACGCAGTCCGGCAGTGTGCCAGCCACATGAGGCGTGGCAGCAGAGCGCGGGCGGCGGTTCGCTTATTTGGCAAATAACAACAATGGACAATGCGGCAGGCAATGCCTCGGCGTTAACTTTATCCTTGCCACCGAGGCGCATAACATCGAGATCTACCTCCCCCCATCACTCCCTGTCTTTCTTGTGTGGCAGTCATTCGTCAATGATGCTGCCCCCTCAGCGTTGCACAAATTAAAATGAATTTTTATTTCGACTTGACACTCCGCAAGCTGTTATATCAGCTATCTGAGGAGGCTGGCAAACGAGTTAACCATCCGACCGAACGAGCGACCGAACGACCGCCAAATGAATCGCTTCGAGAGATCACTTAGTTATATCATTTCCAAAGAAAATGTGAAAGTTACAACGAAACACTGGAGAAATTATAACAAGGCGTAAAAGCCTTAAGAAGAGCTCGAAAGAATTTTAAAACTTAATTTAATTAATTTAATTTAATTTTCAAAAAATTCTGCAGTCGAAATAAATTTTTTAAAACTTTATATATATTATTTATCATTATGTATTATTAACTGCAATATTTAATAGTAAAAGTATTTCAGAGCTCACTCAAACTTCTGTTATAAATTATATTTATAAATTTTCTATAGAAATATATAAAAATAAATTTATTTTCATAAATTTTGTTATAGAAATAAAATAATTGTAAATAAAAAATAATGCCTTTAAAATTCTGTTATATTTATATAACAATAAAAAATAAAAAAAATTCTTTAAAAAAAAGTATCTTTAAAAAATATTTATTAATGTATATAAAAAAATTAATAAATAATAATTTCAAAAAAAAAAAAAAAAACAATCAAGAAAAATGTTTGTTCTTATTAATAATAATGTTTGTTTAGTTTTTATTATTTAATATTTATTTTAATATTTAGAATGTTATTTTTTTAAATTTAAATTTGCTTAAAATTTGTTTGTAAAAAAAAAGAAAATATTACAATTTAATTTTTCATTTATTATTTTTGAACATTTTAAAATATATAATATATATTTTTTAAAGATTTTTTTATAGCGATAAAATTGGGATTTGTGAATGCAATTTTCTTAAATTTCACTTTATAAAAAAAAGAATTTAAAACTGAAAGAAACCCAAATCAATTAAAACCTAATGAAATACTTTGAAAGTGTTTTTTATGGATAAGAAAAATAAATAAAGCTTTTTTTATATTTTTTTTAGCTGCTTTGGGCAGCCATGAGACGCAGCGATATAGACTTTGTGGTCATAAGATGATGGAGTAGTGTGTGTGTGTGTGGAGCATATTTGGGGCACAGTTATTGCCACTGAGACGCGCATTGTAAATGAGTTGATTTTGCGAGCGGCAATAAGCCAAGTTGAGCTGCTGCCACATAAATACCAAAACAGGGGCCAGTGAAGCAGCTGAATGCTTAGATGATGATGCAGTTGATACAGAGAGAGAGAGAGAGAGAGAGAGAGAGAGAGAGAGAGAGAGAATGGGGCAGGAATTCCAATGAGAAGACAATTGGAATAAAAAAGCCCAAATAAATGGAATAGTCGAAAAGCGAAATGAAATTATGTGACGCTCTCGATGATTAGCTAAAGTAGCGCATAAATTGTTTCTCTGGGTTGGGTTGGGATTAAGCGAAGCATGTCGAGCACTACAGACTACATTGGCTTTTAATATGGCACACACACACACATATATCTGTCTCTATATATATAAAATCGAGGCACTCAATCAGCCTAATTGGAAACAATAAAACGCATTTTAACGCAAAATTTTCTTTACAGCTCATTTGATTTTCAACGCGCCGACTCGTAGCCAAAGTTTTGGAACCACTCCAGAGCACACATTGCCCCATTACTCATCCATACATTCAAGCAACCACTCATCGATGCATTTGTGGCAACGAAAAAAAAAACCCAACCAGCTGAAGAGAGAAGAAAAGTTATTGCTGGGGCTGGGGCTGGGGCTGAGCGAAAAGTTCGACAGATCATTGGCGAAAGATTTAAAATTTTGCATTGTGGCATTTCCCCACCGGCCAGACAAGCCCCCAAAAACAGCGAACTACTCCGCCCATAGCCGAAAAACAAAAAAAAAAAAACACTCACATCTCGCATCTGGCAAGCAATTTTTTGATATACGACTTTCGTGGCGAAAACAAACAAATTTGCAGGCGGTCGAGAAAGAAAAGTTCATAATTTTGCTGGCTTTTTAATTAAATGCCGAAGCAGCGAGCGAGTGCAAAACACATGCAAAAAGAAAAGTGCGAATGGAAAAGCACACACAAAATAAGCAGCAGCAGCAGCAGCAGCAGTCAAAGAAGAAGAAGAAGAAAACATGTGAAATTCATTTGGCACCATGCGAATGAGTGCGAGTGCGAGTCCAAGAAGAGACCGTGGGACTACATCGACAGCCAGCGCTAGATAAGCGCGGGCAGTGGCCGGGGCACGACAGGGCAACAGAAGTAGGAGGAACAGGAACCGGGACCTGGCGCTGGCTCTGGCTCTGGCGAGTTATGCGACCGTTTGCACAACAACAAAATTATGGGCCAAACAGGCCTCGGCCCAAAGAGGCTGGCCATCATCGCCCTCTGCCCCCACCCCTCCCTCCCTCTCTCTTTCTCTCACACACACTCTCTATAAACTGGCTACAAAATGTCTACATTTTTATTTCATTTTCACATTTTCGTTAGTTTTTACAAGAAGGCGGCACACAGACTCCAAATACCGAAGCTGCAGCGCCAGGGGCATATATAGTCCATATATATGCATAGTCAGTGCTTGGCATCTGACGCGATCGCCGACCGAACAGGCGCCACGCACGGCCTTAAATAGCGGCATTTCAATTTATGCGCAATCAGGGCAAAGCAGATGTCAAAACAAAGATTTCCCTAACTGAATTGCAGAGAAAGAATTGCTTAAGAACTCTATTGAAGCGCTTGTACGAGTGCTATATATATATATATATATCTGATAGTGATAAAGCGAATACATAGCTGCGCTATATATGTGTAGGCTTCCAATATCTCGTACATAACTAAGGTTTGTTGAGCTAGTCGATACCCGGAATCTGCACAAACTGATGTGAAATATATATATATAAATAAATATATATATATATATATATTTATATATATATATATATCTACTTTATGGGGTCAACTATGTCTGCTTGTGCCTGTTAAAGTCTGCTAAAAGCCATTTGACTATGCCTCGAAACCAACAGAACTTTATAAGCAAGCAAGAAGTGCCTGACTAGAAGTTACCCGGAAACTTGCACAGAGTAAGAATTGCAGACATTCAAGACTTGTCAAGCTTATTTGGAATATATAACCATATATAATATATTTATACCTTAACACAACATTATCATAACCATTTCCCCATCTCGAACTTAACTCAACTGCATAGGCTAAGCGGCAGTGCCTGACTAGCAGATACCTGGAGCTCATGACAAGCTGATCGGAATTAAGTATATATACATCTACTTATGGCATATGCCTGCATCTTGCTATTACATACCTTGGGACATCAAAAACTAGTCACAGGGTATCCTGAAGTCATGCATATACATGTATATAAATATATATATTATAGTTAAGCAAGGGCGTTTTATCGAATGGGCGCGCCAGCACCATAATTTTCACTCTTTTCATTTTACACTCACGCCATAATTTGCAGCAACACCTACGCACGCACACACGCACACACACACGCACACACAATAAATTTGCCTCTCCCTTGCGGCTGGGAGCAGCCCTTGCCAGCGCCAAGTTCGATTTTTGCTATCACAAAACACAGCAAATTCGCTTTGCTTGGCATAAAATGTTCGGCCTGCCGCATCCTGGCATTCGGCTCCCATTCCAGCAACAGATTTGTGCTTAGAAATGCTTGCCAGCTCGTCCAGCATCCTGTGCGCCCTGCGTCGCTGCTGTCGTCGGCCTCGCCTTTGGCCCTTCAGCCAAGACGCTGTCTGGCTGTCTCGCTGTCTTTTATTATTATTATTTTTATGTACTCGCATTTTTATTTGCGTGGTTTGTGTATTTTACAATTTGATGTGATTTGAATTTTCAATGATGCCCCAAGTTCGGGGCGATTGAGAGATTGAGAGAAGCCAAATCAAGAGAATTTCGTAAACCAAAATGGGCAAAAATGGAAAAGAATCAACTGATGCGTAAAGCGCGTCGTCATTCCGGACCCAAAAAACGAATACGAAAACGAAAATGAAAATGAAAAAAAAAACAGTAGATGACGATGACAACGTTGTTGCCAGGGGCGTGGCACACAGATCCAGCACATCGATATGTCTTTTGGCCAATGATTTCGAATGTGTTGCCACGCATAATTTTATTTATTTTTCA